AACCCCCCCCAACCCCCCTTCCCCAACCACCACCACCTAAAAAAACACGCAAACTCTAGATTTTTTTGCTTATAAACCTTAAGTTTTACCCCATTTTTTTTTAAACTCACCCATTTTTAGAAGGGTTTTCCCATAAACCCAAAGTTGTACCTCCGTTTATTTTTTATAGTCATCCACCTCCAAAATCATTCGTAGACGTACTCTTTCTCTCTCTCCCCCAAACTAATGTAGCAACATCGCAAAATTTAGATTTTTTTAGGTTATAAACCTTAATTTTTACCCCATTTTTTTTAAACTCGCCCATCCCCAGAAGGGGTTTTCCCGTAAACCCAAAGTTATACCTCCATTTATTTTTCATACCCATCTACTTCCGAAGACACGCATAGACGTAAATTACTCCTTCAAATTAGTTTTAAACGCACTTTGTATTTTCAACACTTTGGCACACAATGTATGTTAATATATTTTAGTATTATTTTCTATATACTTGTTATAATTTTCTATATATTTGTTCTAATTGTTAGGTATACAATGAATTTTTTGAACCAAATGGTTAAACAATTTGTTTGGCTTTTATCACACTAATGGCATGGGGTCATAGAAGGATTTTTAACCTATAAATTTAAAATTTTGTCTCATTTATTTTGAAACTCTTACACCCTCAAAAAGGTTTTCATTACCTATAAACCCAAAGTTTGCACCCATTTATTTTTAAATCCACCCACTTTCAGAATCATTATTTTTAAACCCACCCACTATGTTTAAGTATTATTATGTATATCAACTGTTTGGTATGGTGTAAGTTTCTATATTTTGTGGTTACTTGCTATATTTTTGTTCAAGTGGTTAGATATATGATGTACTCTTAAACCAAATGGGTAAACAATTTTTTGGTTGTTTTCATACTAATGTCATGGCATTGTGCGGGTTGCGTGTTAATAACTTGATTTTACCCATCTTTGTCTTTGGTGCCCTAAAGTTTTAGGTTGTGTTTGGTTTGAATGAAAATGAAGGAAAAGAAAATAAAAAGAAAAAGAGATTATGTTGTTTGGTTTGGAGGAAAGATAAAATGAAAATGAATGCAGGAAAATGGAGAGAAAAAGAACTACTATAATTTTCTCTTACGATTCCTTCAGCCCAACCAAGTGAAAGTGAAGGAAAAAAGTGTCGGGCTGCTCCTCGAGGCTGCCTCATTCCCGACCACACTAAACTCCTCTTGTTTTGTGGACCCCACTCAAGCAAAAGTCTCATTAGTTTATGTAGGGCCCATGTGAAGAATTAAAAATAAATGAGCCGTTGTTTAGGCCCAATTAGGGGGAAAAGATTGATTTCGCATTAACCCCTGAACTTTGGTGGTTTTGCAGATAATCCGCTGGAGCTATTTTAATTCCAAAAAACCCCTGAACTTGAGCCATATTGCATATAACTTCTTAGTTCAGGGAGTTCTAGGAAATTAACCAAAAATTAATCATCCAGAGAGTTAAATGTATAAAGGAGATGATAATTTGAAATATTTCAAAATATATTGACTGTTTTAATTACGTGCACTTATATGTATTGTCAACATCTAATTTTTGGACAGTTTGCAGTAATTTAAAATTGTTACTGCAATATGACTCTTTAAATTATGTTCCTATACAAAAAACTAGTAGCATGCATACATGGTTTTATATGCTGACCTCATCAAGAAATTTTTTCAATTTAAGAGTATGTTTACAAAGAATTTATTGAATAGATTAACATAATAATAGAAGTTACTTGTTCTCTCTATCTTATAACTAATATTATTTTCCTTCATTATTTTTTACAATTTTCTTCCTAACCAAACATGAAAAAGAATCTTATTTATTTCTTTTTCTTTTTCCTGTCTTTTTCTTTTCTTTCACATTCTTCCAAACCAAACAGAGCCTTAATTTCCCAAAATGATATCCTGTTAGATATTGCGTGAGAATTAATGATGCGACTTTCATGTTAGTGATTTTGGATATTCTTGCCCTTGTTTTGTAGAATACCTTCGAATCCTTTTCTTTCTCTTCTATTTAAAAATGTCATTTCACATCTCTACCGTTAAGTTAGCAATGTTAAGTCTCCACTAAAAAGTTTCGGGACACCTTTTGTACAAATTTAAACTTGCGGACGCTATTGCCAATGCCAAATGGGTGAAATTTTGGAATTATTGAAAATAATCTCTATGTATAATTTATATTAATATCCTAATGTGGTCTGCTCTGCTGTTTTGATGAGCAGGGACGCGGGATCTACAACATGTCTCATGGTATTGGGAAGAAGGAATAAGAATACTTCTTATTGCAACTTAGTGAATGATTTTACATTTTAGTTTCTGACATGAGATGGATTGGGACCTGGCTACATCTGTAGTTATTTGGTTCAAAATAATATTGTATCCACAAGCTGCCACTATTACTGGATTTGTGCATTTGTTTCTTCAGCTTCCATAACATTTATGAATGCTGTGCAAATTTGTTGAAATTTGAGTTTTTTTTGTTTCTTCAGTTGCTGACTATCATTTATGTGTGTTTAGGTTATGCATGGAGATTTTCAATGGTAGATGTATTAGTTGTTCCTTGACAATTGTGAATGACTTAGGGTTGAAAATTATGTGGAGCATATTGTTCACGATAATGATGATGTTTGAACTTTTGGTTTGGAATTTCCACGTTTCTTGATTGATTCCTCATTATAAATGACCAATGGTAGCATATATGTACGATAGTTCTTCTGCTTGAATTACTTTCAGTTTGCAGAAATTATTGCAAGTGAAATTGGACTGAGTTGCGTATGAACGCTTTTTCAAATAGGCAGCAAGCATAAGCTGATGTTTATTTGCTCGTAAATTCAGGTTCACTTTTGCTTAAATTCTTTCAAGCAGAGTATTTGTATGAATACTTTCATGGATTTCTGAATCTTTGCGATGGTCATTTTGTTTCATGGTGACGCCAAATATTTATGCAAAAAGCAATGGATCGAACCAATTAACTGATTTGGCTCCTTATTTACAGACGAGTGATGATATAGCTGCATTGATGTATACTTCCATAGCTATTTGTGCTACAGTTCCAATACAGCCGTGACGGAATAGTTTGTGTGCAACTACACTGGTAAACTTTGTTTTACCTTTTTTTTAAAAAAAAGTGATGTGTAATCCTTGATAAATTTACGCTTACTAACCTGCGTTGCGCCAGAATTCCAAACCACATTTTTACAAAACAAAGACTGCAATCAGCCCATTCCTTTAGGTTCACCACGAGGCTACAACCAAAGAAGGCAACCACAAGGGCAATAAAACAAGAAATAAAGCAAATTTCAAGATGGGATACATCTTGAAACCAAATCCAGGTGACTAAATCATCCAGAATTTCAAACTTTTGTACCACACAAAAACTTAGCAACAAAAAATAACAAGCACTACTGGGTGATAAATCATCTGTTTTGATTCCTGGGCTTCCACACTTGCTGAACCTGAGCATTACCATGCCCTTGCCTCTCTCTATTGACAACGGGAGGTGAAGCAGCAGCATAACCAATAAACGCAACTTGCGGTATTTCTCTATGGCCTTCTGCAGTAAATTTGCTTTGTGGTCTAACCTTACTCTCCGAAGCAAATTTTGATCTCTGATTGTCCAGAGAATTGATAGAAGCAAATTTTGATCTCTGATTGTCCAGAGAATTGATAGCACGAGCAGAAGATGAACTTTGCGATTTCCCATAATGGCTCTGCAATTCTGTACTAGGTTTCTTGTGGTTAAGACCATTGATCGAATGCCCAACTGCAAAGCCAGTAAATGCAACTCGTGACTTATCCTGATTTCCTTCAGGGGTATAATGGCTGTGTGTTCCAGCATTAGGCCGTGAACTTTCGCTGGACTTGTTGGGAGGTTTCTCTTGCTTTGATTTGAAAATATGATGGTTCTGTGTTCCAACCTCAACCCGTGAACTTTTACTAGACTTCTTGTCTACTGGATCATCATCAGTCGCATAAGCAGAAATTGCATAGCACGGTGTCTCATGACTTGATTGGGAACTATGGTTGCTCTGTGTTCCAAACTTAAGCTGTGGCCTAATCCCACGCCTAACTAAATTGGAAAGCAAAGCATTTCTATCTGGGATTAGAGAATAGGAAGAAAGCATTTGAGAAGTACTCATGAATGCTTCTGATATCATGCTCAGCTCTCTCGGACCAACAGCCCTAGCAGCATTATCTGGTCTCTCAAAAGGATCTTCTATCTGAGGAGAGAAGGAAAAAAAGAAGAAGAGTAAGCTACACATATTTGACAATTACTCAATAACAGTCTCTTGAGAAAAGGTCTTACAATTAGTTGATAGGGTTTCTTCATCCATCCGGGATTGCTTTCAATGCTTTCCAATTGACCTGTATATGTGCTGATGACATATTCAGAAGATAGTCTCCCGATCTCACGGTACTGCATGTAGAGCATCTGGATATTATACTCCTTGCTCCAACTATTATATCACATATTTAAAATGTGTGATATGACAAAAGGCAGTACTGCCTTCTCTTAGTAGGATGAATGCATGATAATGCAAGGAGATTCTATTGCACAAGTAGAAACTCCTTAATGTTAAGACAATACACCAATTCGCAGAGATATAAAAATAAGATCAATTTTGTTTTACTTGTGTGATGTCTGTGTGTATGCTTCAGGTAGAAAGTAAGGTTCACAGGGCGCTTAATGTTATACCTTATCAAAGAAAGAGTCGAAAAGTTCACTCATGGTGCTTTGATTTCTCTGTCTAAAAGACTTGAACCTTGCTATGTTAGCAGCACATTCACCTTCTACCTCACTTTCAATACTGGACCATGTACCTAAAGGAAACAGAAATAACAGTACGCTATGTTACTTGCACACAGGATTGAGGAGACTTGGAGCTTCCTCAGGTACTCAAAAACTGAATCAATGAAAGGTTGCAAGCATCCGGTAAATGCAGAATGCCGCAGGCGGGTAGATATACTTCAGGTGCGGTACCTGTAAAGTTGCAGAAGTTCCCTCCATAGATATACTTCAGAGGTGGTAGGATTGCCGGCTTACAAGTCTGCAACGATATGAGAAACACCATATCAGAAACAAATATTTCTGGATCACATATTACCAAGAAAAGAAATGGTAAATTACAAGAACCACCCTAAACTTTACCTCGCAATCGTTTACCACCTACAACTTGAAAACCACCACAAACATGTGGAGTATGAACTTCACATAAATTAGCGCTTGCCAGAATTTCATAGAACTCCTGATGATTCAGATTTAATTTCCCTACTTCATTAACTGATTAAAACCACAGATACTGAACTCTGTCCTAGTGGATTATTGTTCAGGGCAGTAATTGATTTCAGGTAAAGTTCAGGCAGCTTTGTGTAATATCCAGAAATAGTGAATTACTAGTAATCAATACATGACCTGAAATTAGAAAACAGGCAAACTAGCAAATTAAGTACTGAATTAAGGTGAGATCACCTGAAAAAGGAAGATAACCAGTAAACAGAGTGAGTACGAGTTTAGTGTTCCTGATTTTGGGTCATTAATATCGTGTGCTTTTGCCCATTCTTTGGTCTGCACAAGAAAAACCACTTGATAAAACAAAATACATATTGTAGATGAGAACACAGAGAGATATTTACTAAACAAGAATAAAGAGAGTTGGCATATGCAAATGCACGGACCAATAAAACCATATCACGTAAGCGCTCATCAATTTCTGATAACCATAGGAGGATTCGGGACTTCATCCAACCCATATGGTTATCAACCGAGAGATCACATGAAACATTGTGGCGGTAGCTTTCAAATTTAAGAAGGGGAACTCTTGCACTTGGAACTAAGGTAAAATTGCGAGCAACACCTGAGATAGAAAATTATACTTGAAATTAAATATCCTACAACATTAAATATCTTCCAACAATACAAGACACAACAAACAAGAACTAGATCAAGGAGGATGGACAAACACTTAGCTGAGAAAAGCCAGCTGATATCACATGAGCAAACATTGAAACTTTATAGCGAAAAAATAATCGCAGCCATAAAGACCAGTTAAAATGAAGCTTCAGGAAGAGGTCACATACTAGATTGCAGAAGGGAATGATTATCTTCTGTCAAAGCTTGCTAATGCTATGAGCACAAGGTTCTCTTAAACAAGTCTGAGGCTCAAAAGTGCGCATAAACATCTATATGAAGACCATGGAATATGAGCATATGACAGCAAGTATTTAAGATATGTATGAAAAGTGAAGGCTGGCAAGACACTCATTTGAGTTCAAGTTGGCAGAACCGGGCTCATATGCGAATACTTTAGAATGGAAGGACAATGGAAAATCAGGAATATGGATGTTAACCGTGGTCATGGGAGAAAAAGAGGTACTAAATAGCCAACAAAGAGCGGCAAAGCAAGGTAAGTTCATAAGAGGATAATTAGGGCAATCAGATCATGGAATGAACTCAATTCCAACCAAATGGAAGGACATGTGAGAAAGAAATGAAGCATCTTTTAAAAGCAATATTGAGTTATTCATAGATGAAGTTGGGATCCTACTATCAACTATAACAGACCTAGTTGCAACAAATGCTGCGTAGTGCCTTGTAGTGGACTGTTAGAAAAACATGACTTAACTAAGATACTTGATGGCTCAATCTGATCAAAGGTTTAGTTGTCTGCGATGCTGTATGGTATATATTGATGATAAGCATCAGCATTGGAAAATATTTTGATGCGCATTGATGACAAACATCAGCATTGGAAAATATTTTGATGCCCAGCTTATATTCCTTTTGCACTGATCAAGATTACGTTTATTTAATATTTATTACCTTATAACAAGATGTCAAAGCAGAAAAGAAAGTTACTATTAATTTAAATATATTCTACAAGATATACTTCATAGTAATATAAATATAAAGTCGAAATAGAAAGGCAGCAAAAGAGAGTACCATTCTTCCGCAATATTTTCATTATATCCCGCAGCACGTTTAGCTTACGTTTTCTAGCAACAGAGCTAGGTAAACAATGTGATAGCTGTACTGATGTATCCAAGTCGCCCCATTTTGTGTATAGGTTTGAAGTAAAAGATCCAAAAGGCTTGATGACAACATCTGAATAAGTATAATCTTTGTTAGTTACAATATGTACCAAAGCCCAAAAGTTTGAACATTGAATTACACATCGTATCAGAGAAGAAATAAGGTACAGAAACTCATGCAAAATTTTCTGATATCCGAATAGCATCTGTTTTAAAGTATAATCTTTGTTAATTGTAAAATGTATCATAACCTCAAATTTTTGAAAATTGAACTACACATTGTATCAGAGGAGAAATGCGATAGACAAATTAAGCTGCAAAATTTCTAAAATCATGAAACACAAATTAATAGCAGTGACAACAAGGCTATAGACTATAGTTCTATCAAAGGACATATTATACATGAGAAAAATGGAATTAACAACTTGGAATGAAATTGTCCCCCGATCATGGAATCAAACATCACCAGCTAGTCCTCATAGACATGCTTTAGTGACTTTGCTTACCACTTAGCCATGATTTTTTTTTCAAAAGTTGATATCCACAAACCTAGATTCTCAAGTTTTATGAAAAACAAGGTTACATCATTTTGTTCCTTGTTTCCTTTTCTTCCTAATTTTTGGAAGCGAGGTTACACTTTCGTAAAAGACAGAACTTTCCTTTTTTACATTCTGTATTTTCTTTTCTAAACAGAGTTTCACAAAGGCCATGTGATCCAGGTGTTGTATAATTATATCTTGAAATACCCTAGAAATAAAACAGCTAGTGTTTCTGTAATCTTACAATTTCTTCATTTAGGAATGACAATAAGTGTCCAAATTAATGAATCTACACTACAGAACCCAGCCTCAACTGGACTAAAGCCAAAAATGTGACTCGACTATCCTATTGATTGTACTCTAAAGTAGTTATATAAATGCAATCTTCTAGGATATAGAAACAAGCATATGCAATATTGTCTATCCATTTTTTTACATTTATCATTGCTGTGCTACATAATTTTATACGCATATAGGCATTCATGCATATGTAGCATGTACATACATATCTGCACTTGTAAGCACTGCTACTAGTTTGCTTTAGAATGTACTCCACCTATCCTATGTGGCTTTAGTACAGTGAGCGCGCGCCACATTATATGGTTTGGCGTGGCCTCCCCCTGCTCCCCCCCCTCCCCAAAAAAAAAAAAAAAAAAAAAAAAAACAACCCCGAAAAGACGTCTTTTTCATCTATGGGCTTTGTCCATATTAGTCACTCAAGGCCTTAAATCTTGATGAATTAGTCCTATAATCATTGAAATTACTATTGGGTACCTCTACGTTCTTTAAATTATTTAAAATTAGTCCCTCGAATCATTGAAATTGCTATTTAGCACCCCAATTCTCATGAGCTGTTTCAAACTAGCATGAGAATAGGGGGACTTAATGAGAATGTCAGTGATTTGAGGGACTAATTTTGAAATAACTTAAGAATTGAAAAACCTAATATCAATTTTGAGATTTTGGGGAAGCAATTTCAAAATATTAAAGATTTTAGGGATATCAAAAAAAAACTTTTTATGAAATAAATAAGAAACAACTTATATATCTTAGAAATAGCACAACCCCTCCCCCCAAAACAAAACAAAAACCTTCAAGATAAAATTTCTGGCTCCGTCACTGCTTGAGTACTTCAGTTGGCATGTATTATCCACCAAGATTTTGAACGTAATTTTCCATTAAGAAAACAAGAAAACTAGATAAAATATCATCTATCAATCATACATTTGACATCACAGCAGTGAAAATTCATGGTAAAATAGCACGGACTAAGCGCATATTCCTATTAAAAAAATGCAGGTTACCTTTCAAACTTTGCACAGATTGAACGAGAGTTGTAATCTCAGCGATAGTGTACAGGCGCCTCAATCGATCATGTTCTGAGGGTTTGATACAAGAAAGGATGTCTTTGAGACAAAGCTCCAGTACTCCACTATAAGGATCGCCGTAAGAGGATTTTGAGTAATAGTGATCCATCACATTCACGATCTGACTGCTCACAGAAAAATCAAATAATTAATACATGATTAAGAATGGACCGTGAGGACTCAGTAAAAAAACCAACAAGCCTTAAACAAAAAACATATTTTACATGGTTCTCTCCTATAAGTTCATCCAGGAAAAAATGTAAAATAGACTTTTGGGAAAAGCACAAAACTTTGATATACTAACTAGGATACCTAGAGCAATTCATACAGCACCCTTCGAGCATATTTGCAAACTTTTTTTTTTAATTTTAGAATATACATATTTGCTAACTTGATTCTTTTCTTAAAAAATTTTAGAAAAAATACGTATTTGCAACTTGATTCTTACAATACCCCTGGGGGTTAAAACCAGAAGAAAAGAATTCACTGATGTGGATTAGGACTCATAAGCCGTTTCAGGTTAATGTATATCTATTTCCAATGTCAAGACATATTGATTGTGGATGGAAACATGTTACTATAGATGAATATTACCACGTCAGAAATATCAGCCTCCACTGCTGAACTTCTGAAAAGAAAATGCATGGTCCAAGAAAACAACACCTAAAATAATAAGAAGCAAATAAAATATTGCTGATTTCCATAAAATTAAGCTTAAACCCCACTAACATCGTTCTTGCACGAAACACCCTAATTTCATATTAGCATAAACTTCAACAATCATGTCCGGGTCCCAACAAAAAAGAGGGATGTTAGCATTTGTTATAAGCATAAACTAATCGAAAACAAAGTTACATTGTACCACACTGAATCCCACAGGCAAATATGTTTTGATATCCTATAATAAAGTAACTAGAAAACTTACTCAGTAACTAATAAGGCTAAAATTTCCCTAGATTTAACTTCTGTTCATCAAATCTCACAATCTTGTTACCACCACCAAAACCCTGGAAAAGGCCCAACTATACGAGAACCGATGCAATTCGTCTATTTTCAACCCCTAATTAATCCCACAATCTTGTTACCACCACCAAAACCCTAGGACGAAAAAAAGTTCCCGCAAGATTTAAACTGATCGAAGAATCAAAACCGGAAACGATCGATCGAATCCAGGAAGAAAAGCGAGGAGATTTTCTAGCTTACGGAGAGAGAGAGAGAGAGCGGCGACGCGGATTGAGTCGAGCCGCGGGCTTCTATCGATCGATCGAAGGAGGATCGAGTCTTGTTTCGATCTTGTCGACGACCGGGGGGTTTTTCTCGTTCGGGCCTCTGGCTTTCTATATTTACTTTTGCTCCCGCTCGTCGATGCCGGGTTAAATAGATGAGTAAACAAACAATTAGGGTTTTCGGTTCCCAGCTTTAGGAATACTAGCGACGAGGAGGGGGGCACGTGCAATGCGCGCGCCAAATTTAGTAGGGCGTTTATGCGGAGGAATGCTATATTTTATAATGAACTTAGATTAAGATAAATTGTATATAACCCCCTCATCTACACCTTCAGTTTGCACTTAACCGCGTAGACTATTTATTAGCATTTAGCACTCTTCCCTTAAGAATTGAAATGGGATAACCACTAATAAATGAGCTGATTGAATATATAGATGAGGGAGTTATGCGCGGGTTACACTTTAGTTTATTTTATTGCATTTTTTATCTTCTTCTATGTTGCTTAATATCATGTTATTTTGATTCACACCATATCATATCGTCACACATAAACTAATAAAGTATAGACACATGGATTTACTTTCTCGCCAAGTAAATTCCATGACCATCTCAACAAATAGGATAGTGACACATGTACTGCCTGATTTGTTCAGGCAATCAATAGAGTACGCCGGTCTACCTTAGGTGAAGGTACCTCATACCTTAACCTCTTCTCGGTACCACTGACTTTGATTGATGAATACTCTTCTGTAAAACCACATTTTATCTTTAATAACTCAAAGTTTTTTTAAACATTTTGATAGCCCACAATTTGCAAATATTTGAACTTTCATACTACAAAAAATTTCGTTCTTTTATGTTGAAGTTTACATATTTTTAACATTGATACTCTAGCCCAAGTTTGGCATATAAAAATGTCAAAAGTAAAACTTTGTATACCAAAGTTAAAAATATATAAACTTTGTCTTAACAAAGTGTCAGAAAAATTATATGGAATTATTGTAGCTTTGAGGGACTAATATGAAATTATTATAGATTTTGGGTATCCAAGGTCAAAAACTTATGAGATATTAAAGTGAAATAAGGTATAAGGTAAAGGGCAAGTGATCTTTTTTTTATTTAAAGATAGGTTTTGGTGGTGGAAACATAATTGAGAGGTGTTTTGGTCATGGAGAGACTAGTGAGCGATTTCAAAGACTTGAGGGACTAATATGGAAATTTTATAGATTTTTAAGGGAGTAATAAGTAATTGTTGTAGACTTGAGGGAGTAATACTTAAATATCCATCTTCACGTCGCCGGCGCCGATGAACATATGAAGTTGCCTCGTGTAACCACAAGCAAATGATATTATTGCCCTTGCAAACAAGATAAAACTTTTAACCTTCTACTCATCAAGCAAGGGCAACAATGTCATTTCACTCCTAAGTACGAGGTGACGCACAAAATCTCAAAGCAACTGACTGTGGAAAGCCGAGACGGACCTTTTGGAAAAGAAAATTTATCACAGAGGAGCCCGAGCCACTGCTTTATGTGCAAAAAGCAAAAGAGCCATGAAGAGTCGATATCAATGCAAAGGACCACTTTTATCTGATTGGTATTTTTCACCAGTTCGATATTTTCCTCTTGTTCTGATGACAGTTCTGATATTTCTTTCTGAGTCAAATGTGCAGCAATTAGACCTATTTTTTCGCGGCCTGCAAAAAATCGTAGTTGCGAAATCTCTTTCCTCTTTGCATATTTTGACCTTCTAGGTTTCGTCTTTACTATATTTAGAGGTAATATCATGCTATCTCTTTATTTGTCCCAATATTTACTTCCTTGTGGTGGACTTAACGTTCTTACATAAGTTTGGACGTAGTTATTATCCTTATATCTATGTATCAATAATTTTTTGGCACTTTTCTCATTAATAAACTAGTACTAATAACATCATGTGGGATTTCACCGCAGCAAAGTTTTGGGTCTAACTGCATATTTGGCTCCGAGAAAACACTATAACGTTGCCCGAACTAGAAAAATAAATACCAAACCGGTAACAAGGATTTTAAAAAAATATTAATCTAGCAATTTAGCCCAATTGAAAGTTAAGTCACCGACTTAAGAGTCAGGTCAGATGCACCTGCAATACATGTGTTTAAATAACACGGTTTTATGAGTTTCTTCTTTTCTTTAAGTCTTAATTGGCTGCTTGTCAAATGAAAATCAAGCACTTATGAAATTTAAATTTAAAATCAGGGAGCATGCATATCACTTAATAACTGTAATTATGATGGTTGGTCCGTAATTTTCAACCTTTTAGTCTGAATGCGTGTATTTGGATACATGTGGAGTTACTCTTATTAGTCTTATATGATGTCGATTTTGTGAAATGCTTGATGCGTAATGAACTAAGAAAGAATAAAAGTACACTATTATTAGTTGTAAATTAAATTGTTTTTATTTGCGTAAGTGGGCTCGAAGTCTGTAACAAAGCTTGAAGGTTAAGTAAGTTTAAGTACTTTTGCCAAGAAGTGTTTACTTTTTAAAAGATACTTTTGTCGTGGATTAAAAAGGGATTCGAATGTGACATCATTCGGTGATTTGCTTTCGGAGTGATCCTAGTTTTGTTCCACTTTTTTTTAGTATATAATACTTGGCCCTTGAATATATTTTTTGATGGACAAGTGGAAGATATTTAGCTCTGTGAAGGTCGTCTATTATGAAGGTGCAAGTTTGAAAACCTTAACAAAATATTATAATATAGCAAATAAACAAAGGTTTAGCTAACTTAATAGTTTGTTTCCAAAGAGTCAACGGTTTAGTCTTTGTTTTAAAATATCTTAAGCAGTTTGTAATGCCCGATATGATGATGTGCATGTATGTGCAAATTACAGTGTTCAAAAATCTTGAGCTCGGAGTGAATTTATTGATGATTTTTTTTATTTGTAAATACTTCAAACTATGTATTTGAATATCCATGTAAATTTCAAGATCTTGTCATATTGTATAGCTGTGATTAAAATCAATTTCTTCGGCCGCAACCTAATTCTATTTCTTTAAGCGAAGGAAGCAAAATGAACACGGAAAACATGATGCTTTAATTTATTTTATTTTGAATAAGATGCTTGACATCAAACTTTTTAATTGACAAGTGATAAATTGCAATAGCCACTGTCACATAAATATTTAATAAACTAATGAACAATAAATAAAAAGAAAATGTAAAGAAATTATGCATACAAGTTATATTTACAGTAATCTTTAATCTTGCAAAGGATAAATATCACCATTGAATCAATATACACACTATTACTAAAGAAAAACATTAAAGACAACAATGAGACATACCTATTGAAAGAGATTATGAAACAAGAGGAGAAATTGTTATAAAAAAATGTTAATTTATCGGTGTATAATTGAATCAAATACAAAATATATTACCAAATAAAACTAATGAATACAACAATTAAACGTACCTATTGAAGGAGAGGCTAAAGAAAGAGATTCTGAAACAAGAGAAGATTTTTTTTTTTTTATGAAAAACCGTATTAAAGAAAAAAGACAAAATCAATTCCATTTTAACAAAAAAAAGACAATATTAATTCGAATAGAATCTCCAAGCCCGTAAAGACCAAACTACAGGGCCTAAAGCCCAAATAGTTTCCAACGGCCCATAAAACCCATAAGGCTCAAATGCTTCGTCCGGATCAGCACAGCACGTGGGCTGATAGTCTGTCACAAGCCCCCGTTCCAATTTCCCCCCCTCAATTTTTAATTAACAATTCTTTTTTTTTTTAATTTCCTTATTCTTCTTTAAAATCACGAATCCACGCTTAACATTACTAACCGATGGCTTCTCTTCTTGAATCTAGATGGCAGGTATATCGCTTTCAATCGTCAATTACAACCCTAGGATGTCGATTATTATATATATATATTTTTATCATTTCCCCCCATTTTTTGGCTCCTTTATTTAGAGATCTCTCCTAAATAATAATCATCTCGAGTTGGTTAAGTTATGATCTGATATATTTTTTAGGGTGTATTTTCATAATTTGCAACCAGTTGCATTGTGTTGAGCGCACTGATTTTTATTAATTTGAAGGGGATTTCATTTGCACTTAGTTTTGCTGTATATGAGAGCATAAACAATTGACCCTTACATGGTAATTTTGAGGAATGAAAAATTTCTATAGGCTATTAAACTGCGGTCGCCATTTCAGAAGAGAAATCGTTTTGTTCCTTTAGAAGACACGGACACTGTGTAGTTTCCAAACCTCACACATGGGATCTGGTGAACAGAAATTCGTCCTGTTTCGGGTTTTGTCATCTGGGATTCAAGGATTAGGGTTTGGGAGTGCAAAGATCGATTTGTACCGAAATAATGTTAATTTTCCATATTGTCCCGAGTTCACGAAATAGGGTGAAGAGTTAACTGGGTCTAGAATTGTTTTGGTAAAAAATTGTTAAGCGGTTAATTGTTGGTTCGAAATAAGTAGTTAAGTTTTTGTTTATCTATTTTGTTTATGATGAACATTTGGGCAATGCATGCAACGTTTTGCTCGAGCGAGACATGTTATAGGTACCACTATGGTCAACAAGCTTGCTAATCAGTTGGAATATTTCAAATGATACACTTACCATGTGTGTATAGTGATTTAGATGTATCAATAATAACAATTACACATACTTTTCGTTCACTCCTTTTTGACTGTGTGAAGCGGAAAATTCTGCTAGATGGTGCCAATGTATTTATTTTCCTCATCTTGCAGTACCTAACAACTAATTTTAGTGATTTTCAATTGGCCACCCTGGGCTCTTTCATAATTCATGAAAGTGTGTTTTTCTTGTCTGGATCGACTTCCATCTGTATGCTTCGAAAGATTAGGACTTTTCAGCCAGTACAAAATTCAGGTTTGCCTGCAGAACCTCTCCAAACTGTTTTCAGCTACTCTGTTATCATATTGTTTTACAGACTTGTCTCCGCTAAAATATTACCCACTCTATTATGCTGCCACTGTCTGTCTATTAATTGGAAAATTTTCACGTTCTCACGGAGACCTGAATGGTTTATTGGTTTAGAGATAGGCTTCTAAATGCCTGGGCGCTACCTCTTGGGTTAGTCCAATAGCATCCATGTGCAAGCTTTTAGGTGGTAGAGAACCTTATCTTGCTTGAAATTTCAAAAA